AACACCCAGCCATTCTAAGAATGAGAGGGGAAGAGGGAAAATTTGGGGAGTAAAAAATCAACAGTGTTTAAAAGTTTCCCGGAGGTTGAGAAACACTGATCTAACCCCTCTCATTCTGGTGATCTCATCGTATCCCTGGCCACATCCTTTCTGGCCCCTCAGAGACCCCAAATACCAAAGTGTGGCCCCTTTTGGTTCTTGTTCAACAGGATTGGTGGAAAGGAAGGGGCATCCTGATCTGTAACACTTACCCGAAAGTTAGGCGGTGGCCACATGTCCTTCGGCATAATGCAAAACCTTCCAACACTGAGCCCTTCATTTTTGCACTCAAACTGTACAAATTTTACTCCACCCACAAGACAGGCTCCGCAGTCCAAGATGTGGGGCACTGAAAGAAGGACACATGAAAAATAGCAAATGCCAACCTGGTGGCGGGGTGGGGGGAAGCAGCACTGATCGTTTAAATTGCAGCATTTGGAGTACAAGGTTCCAGTCCATTGAAAATGCTGAATAAATCTGGAAGAGCAACTGCAACCATAAATCTGAAACTAGGAAGGGTCGGAGTGAAATGACTTGGGGGAAACAAGGCTCTGCAGCTTTCTGTTCTCAAACCACCCGTCTAATTTATATATACTGCAGAATGTGATTACAAATGAGGTGATAAGAACAACTGAGGAATACAGGAAACCAGAACATGCCGGAGTATATAATGTGGAGGTGGGATCACTAAAAAATTGCATCAAATGAAAAGTGGACAGTGCAGGCAGGCTTTAATCCATGTTTCCATGCCACTCCAGACCTCTGACCAAGGCGCCACCAGAGAAACCCTAACCAGATAGGCAATCAACTGTGCTTATCTGCCTTGTCCTGGCATCTCTGCCTCTTTGACCTTACTTTGAAAACACTGGTTTCCAAAACCTAGAATAGCCTGTGACCAACTGATTCAGAATACTTGTGGTGTGGATTCCTTCATAAAAATCAATCTAAGAGTCCTTCTGGAGTGGAGAGAAAGAGTGATAAGAGGTAGAACATATGGATGAATCTAGATTTTTGACGAGCAAAAAGAGGGTAAAACATCAAAAGAGAGGGAGAAAAAAAGAGAAGACCGAACATCAAGCACATTTTATTAGGAAGCTCAATCATTCTTCAGAAAC